AGTGACTCCAAGGACTAGGCCTCTCATTAACAAAAAGCATAAATAAAACCACCACAAGAATGCTTCTGGACGTGCAAGTCTCAAGCTGTTTCCTCCACCTGGCACTTTCTCTGGTGTCCACCTGCTGCTCTGTGCACAAGATGGGGAAATCCTGTGGCTGCGGGTCCCAGCTGAGGGGCCTCTGGGAAGGTTACCCTGATGCCCGTCAGAGAGGACCAGGGTCTGTGTGTGTCCCCATAGCCTTACATGCTTTCCTCATCACATATGAGATGCTGGCTTGTTTGGTGGTCGCCTGTCCCCGACCCTCCACTACTTTAAGCACTTGGGGAGTAGATTTCATCTTAGCATCTTCAATGTCTAGCACATGCATTCTTTGTGCAAAATACTGGATGTACATAAAATATATTTGTAGATGAATGAATGGAGCTGATGATAACCAGGCACTGTGACAACATCTGCCAAAGTTAAGGATAAGGTTATGCAAGGCAGAAAGTCTCAACATTTCCCCCATCCTGCTTCTGTTCATTGTGTATAATTGGATTTTTTCCCCCATAGAGCTTGAAGCTGTTTCCAAAGGAAAGTAGCAAGAAGAGGAAGGAAATGAGCTGCCTTACTGGTTCTTACTGCTTTTAGAACTGTCTGCAATAGACCAGACAAAGAGGGTATTTTGTTCATTGTTACTATTCTTTATGTGGCAATCTGAGTTTATTTTGGGAGTGTGGGCAGACTTTGGTGCCGGGGGGAGGGTAAGGGGGTTAGAAATAGTCAAAATAGCAGCTGCTGAGACATGGACACTAATCAATCAGAACAGACCCTGGCTACTGGTAAGGCTTATTAATTTTCACCAGTCAATATCAGCCCTACACATGCAGAAGCAAAAAGAGCAATTTCTTTTGTCATCAGCTGATTTGGAGAAATAGACACATATGGGGTGGCATGTTAAGTTAGGGGATGTCATGTATTTGTAGCTTCCCACACTCCTAAAATAGATACCAACTTCCCCTTAAGGAATAAAAATAATGAACATGAAGCACTTTTTCCGTTGTATTTAATCCTAATATAAACCCAGGGAAGTAGAGGAATGTCACAGCTGAAGAACTTGCCACTCACAGAAGTTACATAATTCACTTGAGGGCTCTTGGAAAGAAGATATAAATCCAAGATGCTAAGCCAGACCCTTTGTCTCCAACTCCAATCAAATGCTGCTTCTGAGCAAGTGTCCATAACCAGAGATCCAGAGGTGGTCTTCAGAAATCTGCAAACAGCCTCTACACTGAAGCTGAAACTATGCTCATGGGTGTGTGGGGAAGTTTTTCTTGGGAGAGGGTCTAGAGTGGGGGGTCCTGACCCCAAAACGGTTAAGAAACTTGTGCTCTATAGCAATAATATAACAACAACTTAGTGAATGAAGAATATAGCAACAAGCAAATGTCACTTAAAAAAAAAAAAAGAACAAATGCGTTCTTGGGTGTATCTGGATTACTACTTTCATTTGCTGACTTGGCCAGTAGTAAGTTGGTAAAACATCTATAAATGTTGAGTAGCATCAATGAAAGTGAGTTTTGGAAAAGTACATGGGCCCCATTTCATTTACATATTGAATCAACATTTATTAGTTGGCAATGTTCCAGGCATTGGGAATACCAAGAATGGACAGTGTCACTGCTGCCAAGGAGCTCAGTCTAGCCATGGGAGCTGATGTGTAAATAGACAATTACAACAAAGGGTGATCAGTGCTCCAGTCATCCTGAGTGCTGGGCAAGGGACTGGTGGTGTCCGCCTGGAGCACCCAGGATGGCTTCACAGAGGTAACATCCACCTGGACCCTGTACGGGTTCAGAACAGGCCTCCCCAAAATGTGCCACCTTGGCATATGGATTATTGTGAGCTGAAAGTAACTGAGATCCTGAGGGCCTAAGAGAAACTGTGACCACTCCCTTAAATAATTTGAACTTGGGCCTTACCCATAATAAACGTTACTACCAGAGATAACTTTTTATGTCTTATCTATACAGCAGGGCAAACTTCTAATTACTGAACATTTACTCTTCTTATTGTCCTGCAGTGACCCACCTCCTCTCTGAAGCTCCAAGACATCTTATCTCATCTTCGGCTCAGAATGCCTTATATACCTCATTTTAACTTTCTATCTCAGAAACTCTCATGTTTGTGGGGTCTCTGACTCTCTAATGTCTGTGAGGTTCCCATGTATACAAATGTAATTGAATTTGGTTATTTTCTCTTATTAATCTGTATATTTAATTATTAGACCAGCCCAAAGAACCTAGTAGGGTAAAGTTTCTTCCTCTTCCACAACCCTGAGGGCAAGGAAAGACTGGACTCCAATGAAGCTCAAGTAATAATGTTATAGGTTTTTTCTTGTCTATAATGTACTTCAATTGATTTATATGTGAAATATCTAGGTTAGCACCTGAAGGACTCTAATCAGGAATTCATATCTCAGGGTAGACAGCATTTCAAAGTCTTTAATCAGAAGTCCAAACTGTAGAGGCAGGTACTATATGCCGTTAGATTTCTACATCTGTTCTAGAGAATTTCATAATTAACAAATGACTTGCTAGAATAATTTTTTGCTGGAGAGTTGAATGATACTCAAGGTATATGGATTAACTAGAAAAATACAAGTGTCCCTTCCTTTGCAAGAATCAGTTATGGGATCTGGAAAGCCCAGTAGCTGAATAGCTCTTCAGAGAGACTCTGCAGGTAGGATTCAGGTAAGGTCCTGTGACCAACTACTGAGCAAAAGCTTTTGTGGCTGGATTCAATGAGGTACTCAGAATCCAGCTACTAGAATACTGGCATATTTGCTTCTAATGAAACATTTATGCCAAGTACTTGGGTCAAGGTGGGTCTTCACCAATCCTATAAGAACAGGTGGTGTGACTGTTTTTGTGGCATGTTAATAAATGTTTGTATGTGTGGCAGAGCTTAGCCCAAGACTTTGTTTCCCTCTAGCTACAGACTCCGGTAGGGAGGCAGGAGAGGGGAAACCTGTAACTGCCCCACCTGTAATCATCTCCCAGATGGTCATGTTGACCTGGCCAGCTTGTAATGGTTACCAGGCGGCTTTGCCTTCTGAGGCTGTCTGTATAAGCACTTCTAAAACATTGCCTGGACAGGACTGCATTTTCCGCTGCTGACAGCAATCACTGAAACCACCTGGAAGGCATTCATTCCTTTCTTGCCAGTTAGCTCTAGTTTTACCGTCCCTCACTGACCTTACAATGAGGCTTGACATCGCCAAGACTTTGCTTCCTGCTACATCTGAGGGAGTCCCTTCTCCCAGCACTCTACCAGCAATATCCAACAGCATTTCTATCACTTTAACCTAACAGCTGGTTGTCCTAAATAATTCCGTGATGTAATCTAAAATGCACACTTCATGACAATTCCTGCTATTAATTGCTGTCAAGAGGATTAACCTCTCTGCAGAGTAGTTTCTCCCACTGGCTAAAAAGAACTGCTCCCTATGGCCTAAGCAATAATTCTAATCCAAAAGTGGACCATTGCTCATCTCTGCCACCTGGTGGCCAGTTGATATGGACCAGCACTCCCTTGGCTTCCAGGATCTGGGTGGGGCTCAAGTTTCATCCAGACCAGGGGTTCTCCCGCAAGCTGCGTTTTAGAATCACCTGGGGAGGGAATTTTAAAATTTTTAAAAAATGCCAATGTTTTGTCTGGGCCATACCCAAGATCCATTAAATAAAATTCCTAGGGGCAGGACCCACAAATACGCACTAGAATCTCAGGTTTTTCAAAAATATGCTTTCCAAAAAAAAAAAAAAATGCTTCCTAGTAATGTACCCTGACCTACTATATCAGACTTTCCCAGGAATGGAGCTCATGTCTGTGTAGTCTGAATACCTCTTGGGAACTATCTTATCTTGCTTAAGAACTAGTGGTCTAGTTCAGTGTTCCCCATGCCTGCCTAATGAGACAAACACATGCTTTGGCCCTTTCTGATTTACCTTCATGGGTATTGGGTGAAGCCTGAAAATGTGAATTTTTAAGCAAAAATGAGGCTCAAAGAGACTGAGTGACTTGCCCAAGGTCACAAGCCCGATGGAGCAGGGCTGGATCATGAACTCAAGCCTTTTGGTCTCACCCATAACTGCATGCTGCTGGATGCTTAACCCTGCTGGAGTGAAATTCTTCACTTTAGTGAGCTGAATTCTTAGGGAGGAAACACAAAAATGAAAATAAGTGAAAAGGTACCCCAAAGGAGACATCATAGTCTTCAAATGTGTATGGTTTGTCTGCAAGGTCTTCGAAAAACTCTGCCAAAGAGTCCAGTGTCTCCTCTGCCAGTCTTTCATAGGTGGTCTCATCTAGAGAGCTGCAGGGAACCATCAAAACATAAGATTACTAAACCGTTCCATTTTACTAACATCAAATCACATTTATTTTTTATTTAGATTTTTAAAATTGATAGGAAATAGCTAACATGTACAGAGTAAAAACTTAAACAGTATGCAAGGGTTACCAGAAAAGCCTTTCTTCCCAATCAGGCAGCTGCTATCCCCAGAGTCAACTATGATGACAATCTCTTCTCTATCCTTCCAGAAATTCTATATTCTTTTACATATAGAAATGAAGTATTAAATAGTTTTAATAGTACATGTCTTTTATTGGGCCTAGGTATGCATTTCTTTTTGTTGTTGTTAAAGCATAGTTGACATACAATATTATATTAGCTTCGAGTGTAAAACATAGTGATTCGACATTTATATACCTTATGAAATGATCACCTCGATAAGTCCAGTAACCACAAAGTTATTACAAAACTTTATATAAAGTTTTTTACTTTATATAAAGTAAAAAAAAAAACAAAACAAAAAAACAGGCAAAACTGATCCAGGCTATTAGAATTCAGATTGGTAGTTACTCTGGGGCAAGGAGGGGTTAATAAATTGATGTGAGCAGGAAGCTTGCTTTTGAGGGGCTAGTAACATTCCTGAGCTATTTCTTGAGTTATGTGCTATGTTCAGTTTTTGAAATTTTATCAAACTGTATACTTGTGACTTGGAGACATTCTTTTATATATACTATTTTTCAATTTTTAAAAATTGGTGTAAGTCTATAGACAGAAAGCAGATTAGTGGTTGCTAGGAGTTTGAGGAAGGAGGTGATTATTAATAGGCACGTTGTTTCTTTTTGAAGTGATGAAAATGTTCTGGAATTAGTGGTGAAAGTTGCACAACCTTAAATATACTAAAAACCACTGAATGGTACATTTTAAATCGTAAATTTTATGGTATGTTAATTATAACAATAAAAATGCTGCTCTAATAAACATCCTTGTATGAGCTTTTGTGCTCCCATGAGGATATATCTGTAAATTATAAGCTGTATCCAAGACTACTCCATCATCTGAGAGTTACCAGGAGGCCTAAAGTAAGACACAGTGGCTGCTAGACATGAATGCAAGACATAAAGATCTGCCATATGTCCACCCATCACCCAGCCCATCACCCGCCTCAAGGGTATGATGTGGGGAAGATTATAGGATGGATCAGGAAATGGTGAGGGGCTGTTTCTTAAAGAGAGTGGTGGGCCTGGGATGGGTGTGTCGGAGAGAACCTGGAGAAGAGGGTGACATGTGTTACAGACAGTGAATAGAGTGAGAAAGTCAAGAGCCTTGGCAGGTGCTACCCAATAGCAGCCAAGTTGCACCACCACAGAAGCAGACTGTCCTGCATGTGGCAGGACAAAGGTGTGCATCCCAGAAGCCAGAAGTAGACCCTGAAGAAGGGAACTGGACTTGAGGAATCCTGCAAGGGCCCCACCCATCCTCAGAGGACTGCCTGCAGGGGTGAGGGACAGGAACAGAGTGTTTGCACAGGGAAGACCTGGAAATGGTACCACTAAAGCAAAAACCTAACATAGGCTGCAAGGAGCACTCAGCAGATGTAGGGAGGGGCCAATGGACACAGACACAGCAGGTTCTGTGCTCGCTAGGCCCTCTGTCAACCTGCTGCCTGTGATAACCTGGAAGGCCCCCAACATGCTTACTGAGCCTATAGCTATGGAGACAGTCAGAATGTTCCTGTGTATGGGTGGCTTTGCTGTTGTTAGCTGGTGCAATATGAAAATGGTGAGCAAGAAGAGAACTGAGATGTCTGCAGGTCGATGGAATGTAATGGAGCATTTGAGGATTAAAGGCTACACAGAGATGGAAAAGCTAAAGGGAGAATGTAAGGCTTTGAACAACAAAGACCTCTCATTAGGCCAAAAAAGAGTTTCATTATTGCAAAAATCATATTGAGAGAGCTGAGGGTGAGGATGTAAAAAATAAGGCAGCCTGAGGCTTCTTCCAGGGAAGAAATTTGGATTGTGGTTATTGGCAATGGGACTGATTGGGAGTAAAGAGATCAGAAGCCTACTAGGTTTCTGAGAAAATCCTGTTATCAGAGAAAAATGAGTCTGTCCTATAAGAAGCCAGTGAAGCCTTAAAACATAATAGCCTTTGGAAGCCCAGAATGCTGGCAGTGGGCTACAAGGCTGCATGCTCCCAAGGAGGACACACTTCCTACTGCCTGCCTCCGCTGTGGCCAAGGAGGGTAATGAACGAGGAGACTCCCAGGAGGCAGAACCGGGATTTCATGGAGGAATGTCCCTCTCTGCCAGGGCACAGGTTGTTCCAGTGCTGCCCAGGAGGACTCCATTGCTGCCACAGGCCAGGGAGACGTCTCTTTTTTGAATGGGAGTTATGGTAGTTGTTATTTTGCCCTTCTCTATGCCTGCGTGCGTGCGTGCGTGCGTGCGTGCGTGTGTGTGTGTGTGTGTGTGTGTAAGTCAGAGGAGCCATTCCTAGACCTGGGAGAGAAGACGGCATGGCCTTTGAGGTAGATGACTGACGACATGGGCCGTGGTTGCAGCCTTGGGGCTGGAAACAGTGTATGTGGTGTGTGGAAGAAGGGTCTGTATCAGTGGTAGAGGGCAGACTGGAGCAGTGCCTGGCAGCATTCCATCTGAACCCATCACCTCTTTCTTCCAGGGCACTCATTAGACCACATTTCCCAGCCTCCCCTACAGCTAGCTGGGGCCATGTGACCAAGTCCTTCCCACTAAAATGAGGGACAAGTGCCACTTCCAGGCCTTCAATACTCTTTTCCTTTTCTGTGGAACAGAACCTGAACAGGGCGACCTGACCTTGACCATGCAAAAGATAGTAAAGTACTAACAGGTAATAGGGAGGTGAGAATGAGCCAGGATCCCTAAATCATTTCACAAAGGCATGCCTACCCTGGGCTGGCCAGAGAGGGTGACACAAACTACTCCTGGTTTAAGCCATTACAGTTTGGGCCTATTTGCTACAGAAGCTTGGCCTACCCTAACTACTAAGATATCAAAGAGAATAATAACAAAACTCTGAAAAGAACCTAAATATCCAACAATAGGGGATGGGTTCAACGAATTATGGTATGTACATAAAATTAATCCTATTTCAATTAAAATAATGCAATAGATAGTGATGTGGAAATATGCTTACGAGTGCTGCTGCTAAGGGACAAAACAGGTTCCATTGGGATGGTCTTTTTTTTTAAAGATAAGAGAAAAGGGAAAAATAAGAAAAAAATAGAAGTGTGTGTGTGCACATGTTGTATATTAGGGAAAAATAAGAAAAAAATAGAAGTGTGTGTGTGTGTGCACATGTTGTATATTGAGAGAAAGAGACAGAGAGAAAGGAAGATCTCTGATGTGAAAGATGTTTGTTTATCTTACCCTGGGTCACTCAAAGTTCCTGTTGTCCTCAAGTGCATCACACAGACACTCTGCTTTTTGACATTCAGCATCTGGCTGAAGCAGTGGAGGCTCAAACTCTAAATGCCAAAGAAGAACATTACCATTTTTCAGTATCTTATAGTCCATTACTGCACCGTTTAAATATTGCCACTTCTACATTCGAGAGTAATCATGGTAGAGTTTTTCAGGAGTATTTCTTGGGAACTCTTTTCACCATCTTTTAATGTATTACATTGAATTCTCCTGGTCTCTAAGGCCTGTGCTGTCCACTATGGTAGCCACAAGCCACGAGCAGCATTTAAATGTAAATTTTTTGAAATAAAATAAAATTGAAAAAGTCAATTCTTCAGTCACACTAGCCACATTTCAAGTGTTCCATGGCCTCATGTGGTTAGTGGCATAGACATAGAACAAGTTCATCATCACAGGAGGTTTTATCAGGTAGCGCTGCTCTAGGCTGTTCTGGGTATGTCGTGGTTAGCACAGGCGACACAAGGAAGCCTCAGTAAATATCCTAGCATTTGACTAAAACAAGCAACAACAAACAGCAAGAGGCAAAAGTCTGCTGCCATCCAGAAGGGAGGTTCTTACTGCAGACTGCTGACAAATCTGATTAACAGGATCTACAGGAGACAATGAGACCTGTTGATTTCTTTTAATACAAAACTGCTGAGTATCCAGGTGCCAGCTCCGAGGACGTGGGTGGGTGTGAGTTGATTATGTCCAGCCCTACTGACCAGCTAGAGAAACGTAGGAAATAACCAGGGGAGAGCGAGTAGAGAGAGAGGGGTCCCTCTCAGAGGGACCTATGCCAGTGCAGGAGGGCACGGAGCCTGTGAAGGTTGAGAAGAAAGTGATACAGACGGAGAAAAGTGCAGACGGCAAAGGAGGTGATCGAGAGAGGCAGCGGCCACAGAGCATTCTGAAGGCCCTTATTTGGACTTCATCCTGGGAAGGCACCGAAAGGCTTTAAGAGGTTGGTGATAAGAGTAACATTCTCCAAGGGTCTCTGGTTGCACTATAAGAAGGGGTCAGAGGCTGTCACTTATGGCTCTTGAGCCATCATTGCCCTTGGCAAGAAAGAACGCAGAGGGCACGGGGCTGAAAGGTGAGCAGAGGAGGGAATGGGGGTGCAGAGCACAGACGGCATGTTTAAAAAGGCTGGCTCTAAAGGAGAAGCGAGAGCAGTCGTGGTAACCCTAGTTACAGCTACAGCGTATTCTAGACTGTTCACCACCTGCTGGGCATTGTCCTCTGTCTTTATAGAAACAGACTCATTCTCCCCGCCGCCCAGTGTCGTCCCCGCGGGAGCGGGCGCGCGTGCACGTCGCGGGGGCGCGTGCGCGCAGCGTCATCGGCGTGCGCGGTCTTCCTCTTACGGCGCGCGGCCCGAGCGAGTGCTCGGCGGATACTCACCGCAGGGACAGGGGCACAGGCTACGGCGGTCCTGGCGCGCAGGTCCTGGTGGCCGCAGAGTGAGATATTCTTCGCCGGCCACGGGGCCCCTGTGCGGGTCTGGGCCGACCCTAGGGGCGTCGAGAGGGGTAGGAGGTTGGGAGCCACGCGGCGTCCGAGCGTCCACATGCTCCTTGCGATCTCCAGCCGCTCCGCCCTCCAGCTTGGGGGCGCCGCGGCGACACCTGGTGGTCACGGCCCTCAGGCGCCGCGGCTCGGCTTCGATCTCAGGGCGCCAGAGGTTAGACCTCAGGAAGAACTTCCCAGCATTGCACTTTTTATATATTTAACAAAATGGAGAGCTTCCTTTGTGCAAGGCGTGGAGATATCTCTTGGGTAACATAGTGAATGAGAAACCAAGGCTCCTGACCTCGGACACCTTAGCCTAGTGACCCACTGCTGCAGAAATTCTACAATTTTGGAGCGACAGTCTTGCTGAGAACTGGGTGGGGTGGAGGTCGTGAAGCTGCTTGGCCTCTGGTATGGCACCTGGAAATCTTGTCCCCACAGCACAGGCTAGGTGAGCATATTGTTTATCACAGGCAGAAGGTTGACAGGGCTCTCCAGCGTCCCGCCTGCTGTGTCTGTTGATCCCTCCACACGGGTTACAGCAGTTGGGACTGTGCAGACAGAGCATGGACTGCCTGGTTCAGATCTGGACACTGAACACTTGCTAGCTGTATGACCTACCAGTGGGCAAGTTAATAACCTCTCTGTGCTTCATCTGTAAAATGGGGTTTATAAAAGTTTCTGCTTCCTAGGGTTGTAAGGATAAAATGAGTTAATCCATGTAACGTTTTGTCGGACAGGCTTTGGACCTTGATAAGTGTACAATAAATAGTAAGTTAATACATTTTAAAAGAAAATTTAACTTAGGTTGTGTATTGCAAAGGAATACAAATTGTGAAAGTTCCCTTCACACTTTTCTACATTTTTAAGAAAATGTCAAATGTATATGCCACAGAATATCATTTTTATAGGGAAGGTAGTGGGGACAGGAGATGGGTAATGGGCTAAAGTTCTTTTAGAGTCACCTTGGTACTTTGTGAATAGTGGAACAAATAAATAAAACACTAAATGACAAGTGTTAAAGAGGAACACTAATGGCTGTCAGCATTGAGTGGTAAATCAATGAAGGGTGAGGGCAATCAATGAAGTCTCCATGGAAGAAGGGGCATATGCACAGTGCCTTGAAAAATAGGGTAGAAGAGGTAGAATCTGACTATCAGATAGTCCAGGTATTCTTTTGGATGAGAGACATTCTTCTGCGTTTAATTAATTATAAGCAGCTATTTATTGAGCACCTATGTATATGACAGGCATGGAGAACCACATTCCCTCTGTGAAGTGTCTGAGGATACTTTTGATTGTCACAATGGTGTGAGGTTAGGCATTGTGTATGCTGTGGGTACCTAGTGGGTAGAGCACCGGAATTCTGTTAGACATCTGGCCGTGCACAGGACAGCCCCGCAATGACAGAGTTATACAGTCCAAAATGTCAGTGGTGCTAAGGCTGAGAATCCTTCACCAAAGCCACCCGGGAAGAATCTATTGAGGCATAGGGAAGTGTCTCCATTATTGGCCAGGGCCCCAGCCCTGCCACACTAACAGGGAGGCCCCTCCTCACATCCTCAGAACTTCATTACATACTTGGAGAGTTGCACTATTATTAACCAGTGCCATGTTCTGGCACAGAAAGGACCTGTGAAATGCTCCAACTTCCTGTAAAGTTGATACCACTGCTCTATCTTTTTAGCCAAGGAAACAGGCTCAGAGTAGCAGAGCAGAGAATATTAAGGTCTCACCAGAATATGTCTTCCAGATCCTTGGAGATGACCAGAGGGAATCAGGCACATCTGGTAAGAATCATGGGCATCATAGCTTGTGCAGACAAGGATGTCGAGGGCACCTGTAGGACCCAGCACCTTTTCTCCCTCTTTAGATTGCTTTGACCCAAGGGTAGGGGGCTAGGAGGTGGTGTGTAGGCCACTCCAATGCCTGTCTGGTTGGAGGTGGGGGAGAATTTCCCCAGAACTCACATTCCCTGTCCTTAAGGTACTTTGATATGACTTATTCTACGGCAGTGTTTCTCAAAATGTGTGGACCAGCAGCTTCAGCATCACCTGGGAACTCGTTTAGAAATGCACCTTCTCAGGGCCTATCCAGATTTACTGAATCAGAAAATCTGGGGATGGGCCCAGCAATCTGTATTTTAACAAGCCCTCCAGGGAAATCTGATACATTCTAACGTTTGAGAACCAATGCAGTAGGGTATGTGTTTGGCAAAATTGTAAATTGAGCCAGTGCCACCAGGGTGATTTTCTAAATCTAAAAATCTAAATCTAAAATATTAATCTAACCATAGGCCTCCTGTCAGCTCTCTTTCACCACCGTGAGTGCTCTTTCCACTCTCTTCTGTGTACTCTACTCCCCAGCTAATCTGAACATAACCAATTAGGATTAGATTTCGTTGACTATAACAGAGAACAAGAAAATAATGTTTTAAATAGTTTAAGAGTTTATTTCTCTTTCACATTCAAAGACGTCGAGAAATTGGCAGTCCAGGGTTCTTGGGCAGTTGAACAAAGTTATCAGGGATTCAGGTTCCTCTCTACTAACGGGTGTGGCCCTGGTCTGGGGGCCCTGGCCCCCAGTCCCAAATAGTTGCTAGTACTTCAGCCAACACATGTGTATTCTAGGCAGCAGGGTGGAGGGAATGGTGCCTTTTCCCTTTGAAAGCTTTTAGGATCTTCCTTTTATACTTGGTGATCTGAAATTTTACAATTATGTTTCCAGGTGTGAATCTGGTAAAAGTAATTTTGCTGCGCACAAGGTAAATCCTTTCAATTTAAAGATATATGTCTTTCAGCCCTGGAAAATCCCTTTTTATTTTTGTTAGTATCATTTGTAATTTCCTATCTCTATCTCCCACTCTCCCCCATTTTCTCTTTCTGTTACCACCTTTAATCAGGGAGTGGACCTTTTCTTTCATATTTAAAAAATATTTGTAATTTTTTGTTCTTTCTTGGACACTTCGCTGACTTATATACCAACTCTTTTATTGAATTATTTAAAAATTCTACCAATTTTTTAAAAATTCCCCACAGCTTTTTTCTGTGATTATTTCTCTATTTCATAGTATTTTACTTTTGTTTTGTATTCTTTCTAAAAATTCTAGTTCTTTTAAAAAATGTTATCTTTCCCCAATAATATATGTATTATTTATATATAATTACCTCATATATAATATGTGATATATATAATTAGCTCTTTCCCCAAGAGTATATATCTCATATATTACATACTTACTTCATATATTATATATGTTATATATAAAATTATCTCCTCCTCAAGAAAAAAATATATTTATATATTACGAAATATATAATTTTTTTGGAGAAAGATCTGACCTCTGCTTACTCCTCATAACTCATCCTGTACCCTTTCCTTTTTGTCCCGTGTATTCTCGCCACACTTCCTAGTCCTTCAACTTGCCATGCCCTTGTCCCTTGGGTCTTTGCACTTGCTATTCTTCCTAGAACCCCTTTCCTCCAGCTCATCACAAGAGGGCCTTCTTATCCTTTAGGCTTAAGTCTGCATGTTCCTCAAAGAGCCCTTCTCTGAGCACTGTCCCTAAAGGAGACTTCTCTCTCTGCTCCTGTTTCTTTCCATCACCTCACTCTATTGATTTCACAGCATGTATTCCAACTGGCAAGTATATTGTTTTTGCTTTACTTGCTGAGTGTCTCCCACGCTAAAATATAAACTCCATGTCAGTCTTGTTCATCATTGTATTCCCTGTGCTAGGCACAGTGCTGGATAAATAGCAGGTGCTCAGTAACTATTTGACAAATGAATGAAATGAATAACCTTGCTCTGTGGCCTGCTAGATAAGCTTTGTAGAAGTGGGGTAATAGTGGTACTCACCACAAAGCATGGTAAGAATTAAGTGAAATAATGTATAATTTTTTGTGATAATACCTGGCACATACTAAGATCTCAACAATTATTCTTTCTCTGTCCCTGAGATCTAGGCTCAACTCTGACCCTGCTTGGGCTAATCAGTGAAATCCTCGGGCTGTCATGGTTTATTCAATCAAGTACTTATTGAGTGCCTACAAATGGTTCTAAAGCTGGAGATATGGTGACGAACAGAATAAACACAAATCTTTGCTTTCATGGGACATACATTCTAAGATCTCTAGTGGCCTAGATATTTTCTCTTATATTCTTTATCATGTAAGAGCTGGAATTATCTGGTTGAGTTTTGATCAGACAAGGGAATGAGAATGGCCTAGCCTGATGACTTGGTCTGGTCATCAGCTTAAGTTCATTGAGCTCCATCAGGTTTCTAAAAATAATTTGGTAGATGTCCTTCAACTGTGCATGTTGAAAAGTGAATTTGCTTGATATGGCACATATGATGGTGTCATTGCAGTTCTTCCCTCTGAGAGCACATTGGAATTTGAAGAGTTAGATGTCTGCCAGGGTAGCTTTCTGCCCAAAGGGCCTAGAGAAGAGTTGAGAGACGAGAGCAGCATCCAAGGAGCCCCACCTACCTTGGGATAGCATTTCTTCTAATTTCCCACAGCAAACCTTAAAGTGTCCCTCTTGCTCAAAAATAAAGCCAGAATTCTTGTAGAAATGTATTCTTTTTGGACCAAAGAAAAGTGGGGGGTGCGTGCGTGTGTGTGTGTGTGTGTGGCAAGTGCTGATACAATTCTCTCTGACCTGCACCTAATTTTAGATGAAGAAATAGAGGTCCAGAGAGTTTAAGTGATGTGTCCACTTCAAAATGGGACTAGAACCCAGGCCTCCTGATTTCTAGTCCTGTGCTCTTACTGTGCATTCTTAAACAACAATAGTTTCCCTAGTTTTAGTAGATCAGTCCGAGGGACTCATTGGCTCTGGGATCATGTGCCTGTCCGTTGGAGCAATCACAGTTGCTAAGGGGATGGTGTAACAATTGGTCAGGCCAGGGGTTAGGGCATATTACTAGAGGAAGGGGGAAATGAGACTCCTTGCCAGAGTACCAAAAATGAGTGCTACGCCAGTTCATCATAGATAATAAAAACTTGTCTCCAAATTCTCACTTATTCTTGCTTGTCCTTGGGCTTCAGCTCAGTGTTCTGACTCAGAGCCTAATGCTTCCTGCCAGGAAGTGATTTCAGCTCTGGGGAAAA